GTCTCTATTTTATTACACCATGTTATTTATACAATTAATATTAATTTACGTGACCATAGTTTATATCACACTATTTCTGGTCATTATATTTGTCGCTTCTTCAGTGAATTACGAGTCAAACAAATCGCTGAAAATATTTCACTCATTTTTGCATTCAAACAACGGCTTAAATAAACAATATTTACGAAAATTTGACATTAATTTATCCGAATCTAATAGACCGAGTAAATTGTTTGTTCGGAGCAACAGGGTAAAGCCTATTTTACACAGTACTTATAGAGAAACTATGTTATAAAACAAATACTTTTGATAGTATTAGTATATGAAATATATGTCAGATATTTTAATGGTTATAATTTATAGGTAATAGATTATAGACATTAAATATACGGCACAACAAAATAGTTATCGAAATAATTAAAAATACAAAAAATAATTAAACAAATATTTTATAAATTAATCTTTTGTGCGATTTTATAATCGTTTTATATATCGGGTGCGAAACTCACAGCCGTCGACATCGCACTCAATATCCGGCGCCAAATGTGTCCTCACATGTAGATTGAGTTGACGTTTGGTGGCTAACCGTCGGTCACAGTCGGGCCAAACACATAGGTATCGCATTTCACCCGAATGGGTGCGTTTGTGGTAACACACTATACTATTTCAAAACCTACCCGAGTCAGGGACCCCTCACATAACACTCCATGGGGTATAAAAGTGACTGAATATGGTTTAAAAAAGTTTGAATATTAATTTAAATACTTTTAATTTATTGTTAATATGAAATTAACACACAATAACTACAAGAATATCATTTCATATAATATAATAATCAATATATTAATAAATGTAAACTTTTTACATTTTTAAAATCAGATATAAATACAAAATATTTTAAACGCGATTTTTATGAATTGATTTTTTATGGATAATTAAACTGACTCTATGTCTGGTCCTAAACTCACAGCCCTTCACATCGCACCGCATGTCTGGGCCCGTGTGGACCACCACATGGTCTTTGAGTATGTTTTTTGATTTAAACCGTTTGCCACAATCGGGCCAATCACAGGCGTGCGGCCGCTCATCCGTATGGATCAGTTGATGCGTTTTCATAGAGTTAACCGAACGGCACCTGTACTCACACGCGGGCCAATCACAGGCCACAGGTTTAGTATCATCGTGGATCTTCTTGTGTGCATTAAGTCTATGCTTATTGCCGGCCCTATACTCGCATTGCGGCCAATCACAGGCGTACGGCCTGTCGTCGCTATGGATCACTTGATGTTTCTTTATTTGGGACAAAATGCGGGCCGTGTACTCACATCCGGGCCAATCACAGGCCAGCAGCGGTTCATTGTCTGAGTGAATATTTTTATGGACAGTTATCTGACCATATGTGCGGGCCCTATACTGACACGCGGGCCAATCACACGCGTACGGCTTGTCCTCACTGTGAATGAGTCGATGCATTTTTAATATCGCCTGTGTATGTGTCCGGAACTCACAGTCGGGCCAATCGCACCGATACTCACGGGTGGAGTGCACGCCATTCATGTGTGAATTAAAACCACTTTTAGTTTTGAAAACTCGACCACAGCCCGACTCCGGACACGACAACTGTAGGCTAACAGTCGAGTGATATGTCCTTTTGTGACTCATTAATCGCTTTCTAGTTTTGAAACGTTTGCCACAGTTTTCATAATCGCACGCAAACGGCTGGTCCGTCGGGTGCGCGGCTGTCACGTGACGATTGAATAGGGATTTAATAGCGAACCGTTGGCCGCAGTCCTCGTGAGCGCATACATAGGATTTGTCGGCCGATTGATTAACGGGTGGAACCAATCCTTTGTGAACAATCATATGATTCTTTAAAATGGATTTAGTCTTAAAGCGTTGGCCACATTCGGGCCAATCACAGGCCAGCGGTCTATTGTCTTTGTGAGTCGTTTTATGTGCGTATAAATTCGTATAACTACGGGCGGTGTACTGACATCCGGGCCAATCACACGCGAACGGCTTGTCCTCACTGTGAACGAATCGGTGATTGTTTAAATATTTCTGTGTGTGTGTCCTGTAGGCACAGTCGGGCCAATCGCACCGATACTCACGGGTCGAGTGCGCGCTATTCATGTGTACATATAAGCTATTGTTAGTTTTGAAGACTCGGCCACAGCTCGACTGCGGACACGGGTATTGCTTTGGTATGGATTGGTCGTCGGGTGCGGACGAGTGGACAGCTTTCATGTGAAGGCGCCGATCGCCCGGACGCAGGAATTCACGGCCACAGCCCTCGTGAGTGCATCGATAGGGCCGAAGACCGTTGTGTTTGTTCACGTGATTTGTTAGTTCAGACTTTGATTGATACGATCGGTCGCACCATTGAAGCGGACATTTGTATGGTTTTGGTGGACACGAGTGGTATTTAGTCAACAGATCCGGTGATGCGAACACTTTCTGACATTTATCGCAATTGTGTTTCAAATGAATTTCACGCAAATGTTTGTTATAGTCATCCGATGTCTCCAACAGTAGTCCACAAGACGTGAATATGCATTGATATGAAGAGCTATCGGATAGTATGAGTGGACATGACTTGTGTTCTTCTACTAAATGATTGTTATATTCTTCTAATGTCTTAAACCGGTGAACACAAGTCGTGTAAACGCATTGATATGGAGTGATATCCGATTGATTTGATTTCGTAACCGGAGATAATTGTCTCTTCGTTTGGATCAGTTGGCCATCGGCTGAAGTCTTGTTCTGAAAAACTAACAAAACCTTAACTTTACAAGACTTTTGATGTGTTGACAACAGTTCCGGTGAAGCGAAGACTTTTTGACATACAATACAATTGTGTTGTGAAGTCTTATTATGGGTTGGTTTCGGTGGACACGAGTTGTCCAGTGTTTTCATCACTTGATTATTATCTGTATTTTTAGCTTTAAATCTATTTAACACAACATTTCGTTTGCAATACTTTTGGTGTTTTGAGAGCAGTTCCGGTGACGCGAAGATCTTCTGGCATTCAATACACTTGTGTTTCAAATGATTTTCCCGCAAATGATTGTGATATTCATCTAAAGTCTTAAACAATTGATTACATGACTTGAATGAACACTGATGTCGATAATCAGCTGATTGTGTAATGAGTGATGGTTTCGATGGACTCTTGTGTGCAGAACTGACCGTTGGTTTGACTGATTGTTTAGCAGTTGTGTTGCCATCCATTAACTCTTCGTTAGTCTCCAATCGACCACTTGTGCCGACAATCGTGTCATTCATGTTCTCATCAAAAATGTTAACAATATTTGAGACAACAATCTCTTCATTACTATTGTCTTCTTCTGGACAACACTTCCTCTTCAGTGGACTTTCTTGGGATGGTTTCGATGAGCACTTCCTCTTCTGTGCCGACAATTGTCTAAATCTTAGAAAATTCTTAGAAAACTTGAGACACAAACGATTGCCTCTGTTTTGCTGTTCGGGAACTCTATTACCACTCAATACGAGTGATGTCTTAACAATCGACACATTGTCTACAGTGTTGTCAATTCTCGACATCTCTTCGGCCAACTCTTGAGTTGCAGACAATGAAATGCAATCGCTTTCTGGTGTCAGTACAGGCTTTATGTCATCATCCGATCCATTGATATCTTCATTCATATCACATAATTGTTTCTCAATTATCTGCCGACCAGTGGTGGCGACAGTAATACCTATTTTGTAAATTGAAGCCGTCCCGAGTCAGGCTAGGGGTTTAAAGTGACAATATTAATACAGTAATAAAAAAAGTATGAATATTAATTTAAATACTTTTATTTTAGTTTTACTATTAAATTAATGCACAATAATATCGTTTCATATAATAATTAAATTAATATAAATGTAAACTTTTTACTTATTTATAAATCAGATATACTTTAAATACAAAAGATTTTAAACGCGTTTTTTATGAATTGATTTTTTATGGATAATTAAACTGACTCTATGTCTGGTCTTAAACTCACAGCCCTTCACATCGCACCGCATGTCTGGGCCCGAGTGGACCACCACATGGTCTCTGAGCGTGTTTTTTGACTTAAACCGTTTGCCACAATCGGGCCAATCACAGGCGTGCGGCCGCTCATCCGTATGGATCAGTTGATGCGATTTCATTTCGCCAGCCGTACGGCACCTGAACTCACAGGCGGGCCAATCACAGGCCACGGGTTTAGTATCATCGTGGATCTTCTTGTGGTTATAAAGTCTACGCTTACTGCGGGCCCTATACTCACATTGAGGCCAATCACAGGCGCACGGCTTGTCTTCGCTATGGATCACTTGATGAGTCTTTATTAGGGTCGTAGTGCGGGCCCTGTACTCACATCCGGGCCAATCACAGGACAGCAGCGGTTCAGTGTTTGAGTGACTCTTTTTATGGGCATTCATCTGACCATAAGTGCGGGTCCTGTACTGACACGCGGGCCAATCACACGCGTACGGCTTATCCACACTGTGAGTGAGTCGATGCATGTCTAGCAATACCGGTGTATGTGTCCGGTACTGACAGTCGGGCCAATCGCACCGATACTCACGGGTCGAGTGCACGCCATTCACGTGTGCTCTTAACGTCAAATTAGTTTTGAAGGCTTGGCCACAGCCCGACTCCGGGCACCGGAACTGCTGGCCGACAGTCAAGTGAACTTCCCTTTTGTGACTCATTAATGCCCCTTTAGTTTTGAAACGTTTGCCACAGTTTTCATAATCGCACGCAAACGGCCGGTCCGTCGGGTGCGCGACTGTCACGTGACGATTGAACTGGATTTTAGTGGCGAACCGTTGGCCGCAGTCCTCGTGAGCGCATACATAGGATTTGTCGGCCGATTGCTTGACGAGTGGAACCAATCCTTTGTGAACAATCATATGTCTCTTCAAAATATATCTAGTCTTAAAGAGTTGACCACATTCGGGCCAATCACACGCGTACGGCTTGTGCTCACTGTGAATGAATCGATGCCTCTCTAGCAATGCCTGTGTATGTGTCCTGTGCTGACAGTCAGGCCAATCGCACCGATACTCACGGGTCGAGTGCACGCCATTCACGTGTGTATTCAAGAAAGCTTTAGTTCTGAAGACTCGGCCACAGCCCGACTCCGGACACCGGAACTGCTTTGGTATGGATTCGTCGTCGGGTGCGGACGAGTGGACTGTTTTCATGTGAAGGCGCCGCTCGCGAGGCCGCAGGAATTCACGGCCACAGCCCTCGTGAGTACATCGATATGGAGTCAAATCCGATTGATTTGATTTCTTAACCCGAGATAATTGTCTCTTCGTTTGGATCAGTTGACCACCGGTTGGTTTCGGTAAACACGAGTTGTCCAGTGTTTTCATCACTTGATTATTGTCTGTCTTTTTAACTTCAAATCTATTTAACACAACATTTCGTTTACAAGACTTTTGGTGTTTTGTCGATTGTGTTGGAAGTGATCTCTGAGTTGTGTTCACGCGATTAGTACTCAACGAAACACTTGTTGTTTGACTTTTATCACCGCTTTTCATAGCGTTTAACGCCATAACAGTCTTCGGAATCAAATAAACAGTGGATTTGCTGTCAATTACTATCCCATCACTCATTCGGA